AGCATACGTGTATATTAAAGTAAATATCATTAAATATTAAATATTATAACTAATTAATTTATATATTAAATAGTATTATTATTATTTTATATATATGCAATTCGCAAAAGCGACAGTAAGGACATTTACAATGTAATTCTGAAAATATTATATCTTGGTTTCCACAAAAACATTAAGCAGTTAATATTTTCAACATAATAATAAGAAATGTTTCTTGAAAGAATGATTTCTGAATAATCATGTAACACTGAAGACTGGAGAAATGAATGCTGAAAATTCAGCTTTGCCATTATAGGAACATTTTTAAAATAGGCTATATTTATATAAAAACAGATATTTTAAATTGTTCATAATATTTAACAGTATTGCTGTCTTAACTGTATTTTTTTTTTTATTAAATTCTTGTCTAGTCTTGATGAGCAAAAGAAACTAGACCCTAAACTTCTGAACAGATTTTTTACACACACAGCTTTGTTTGTATTTCTTTTGTAGTTATATGATGCAACATCTAGAAAGACAAGTAATTCTTTGTAGTAATGGCAATAAAGAGGTTGATTTGACTTGTAATTGCGTTGCAGGTCTGAATGAAGAGCTGGTTCAGCTGTTGCTCATGAGAGATGAACTACACATGGAACAGGATGCCATGCTGGTAGATGTGGAGGATCTAACCAGGTTAGGCCGTGACCCATTTAAAACGCAGCTTAAAAGAGAGCCTACATTAAAGGGGTCATATGATGCTTTTTTAAAGATCATTATTTTGTGTATTTGGTGTAACAGAATATGTTGACATGCTTTAATGTTCAAAAAACACATTATTTTCAAATACTGTACATTATTGTAGGTCCTCTATGCCCCGCCTCTCTCAAACGCTTCGTTTTCTACAAAGCCCCCTCCTTCGTTTTAGGGGGGCGTGGCAGAGTCTTAACTTTGATAAAGAATATCTCTTTGGTTTTGAGACTTTAGTCTTTGCAACTTCAGGGCTCTTATCTATGCACAATCAGCTTGTAACACTCCAAAGAGAAAGGAAAACTTGAAATCGCATCATATGACCCCTTTAAGGTTGACATCTAAAAAAGGTCTTTTCTTTCATGTTTTTGAACAGGCATGCACATAGCCAGCAGAGGCACATGATGGAGAAATCTGTGACCAAGGGTAAAGCAGCTTGCCACGGTGGCTGTGATTCTCCATTTTGAGGCGAACAGCACAGGGTCCAACCTCTTGTGTTTCACTATATGACGAAGCAGTGTACTCACTATAGATCCTTTTGTTTTTCAACTAGATGTGTGTGTTTTTGCCTATGTTTCAAGCTTTGTGTGGATGTATGTTAATTATACATGCTGTAAGTGTTCATGCATGCCCGCACCTTAGCTGAGGGTTACACACTCACTTTGTTGATCCTTCATAATGCATAAATACAGAAAGAATCATCAATCACTGACAGGCTGGATCTTTTCCTGTACAAAATATCTGCTGGTTTCATGATACTGAATGGGAATGGACCTTAATAGGAAACAACTCTTTAGAGTAGAAGGCTAGTTCACCCAAAAATGATGATTGTGTTATTATTTACTCATTCAATCCAAACCTTTATGAAGATTTGCAAAGAATCTTTCTGAACCGTTTTTGCCCATACAGTGAAAGTCAATGGGATCCAAAACAACATTAGACCCCAGCGACTTTCATTTTCGAAATATTTTATTTTCCACAGAGGAAAGAAAGTAATCCGCGCATTTGTTTTTAGGTGAACTATCTATCAGCTAGCAAACTGCTTCTCTGTGCAGATTATTGCTGGATTCGCTTATTAACCTTCTGCAGTATCCCTCTTTGGGGATGAATACGTTTACTCCACTCTCTAAAGTTTTACTCTGATGCAGTGTTTGCACTGGCTGATGTGCTGTGTATGGAGCTCTCCTACCTAAAATATAACCAAAAGTGAATATTAGGATGATGTTATTTGCTTGAAGCTGCCTGGTGTGGTGGTAATTCATTCTTGTGTTCACAATGAACTATTAACGTCAGTCTTTTAAGAATGTCTATTTTACTTACTTTTTCATCCAAATGTGGCATTTCCTGTTTCACAGATGTAAGTGACACAACATGGTCGAAATGCTGTATATCTTTGTGCACAGAACTGTAAAAGGAAATTATGAACAAATAAATGACTTAAATGGGCCAGTATATGAAAAGGAATTAGAGTTGTGTTTTTCTTAAAGGGATAGTTCACCCAAAAATGAAAATTACCCCATGATTTACTCACCCTCAAGCCATCCTAGGTGTATATGACTTTCTTCTTTCAGACGAACACAATCGGAGTTATATAAAAAAATGTACTGGCTCTTCCAAGCTTTATAATGGCAGTTAATGGCTGTTGATATCCAATAGTCCAAAAGAAGTCCACTAAAGTGCATCCATCCATCAAATAAAGTACTCCACACAGCTCCGGGGTGTTAATAAAGGCCTCCTGAAGCGAATTAATGCGTATTTGTAAAAAAAATATTCATATTTAAAATTTTATGAGCCTTAATCTCTAGCTTCCACTATAAATTCCATACTTGAGTGGCATTTAAGAAGATGACGTAGGTGTAGCGTACGCTCTGGTGAGAAGTGACGAACACTGAAGCTCTTTAAGAAACAAAACAAAACACCGGTCATGAATTTGAAGAGGAAAATGTTGTTTATAAAGTTTCTAAAGTTACAAATATGGACATTTTTCTTACAAAAACGCATCGATTCGCTTCAGAATGCCTTTATAAACCTTTGAAGCCGTGTGGAGCATTTTTATGATGGATGGATGCACTTTATTGGACTTCAAAATCTCAGCACCCATTCACTGCCATTATAAAGCTTGGAAGAGTCAGGACATTTTTTTTTTTTTAATACGACTCCGATTGTATTCGTCTGAAAGAAGAAAGTCATATTCAACTAGGATGGCTTGAGGGTGAGTAAATCATGGGGTAATTATCCCTTCAAGTTCCAACTGTTTAGCAGAGTCACAAGGGATGAAGCACTCAACACCAAGTATCATTGTGGTTTGTACTAGGTCAGTCCCAAAAACGAAACCTGTTCAAATAAAAAATGCAATAAATAAAAATAACTGTGTAAAAAAAAAAGTACCTCTCTTTCTTTATTAAGTTCACTCGTCTAATTTTTGTACCCAAGATCTACACAGAAGTGGAACAAAGCAGTGACTCTAGTAGTGAAAATAGCACTTTGTCATGAAGTATCAGCATATGGTATCTGAACTGAGAGTCGAGTAGTTGTGTCTACTTCCCTTTTGTGGCCAGATTACGCAAAACACAGATCACCACTGCGCTCCCGCTCTCTCCCCTTGAGTCCATTGTCACAGTATTACATCATTTTGAGGAGATATGATGTGTCCGCTCCATCAAATGATCACAAATAATAGGGAAAATAAAACAGTTAAGTTGTTTTTAGTGGATATTCCACTCTTGTTCAACAGTGTGGCCTACAAAACCAATAATATGTGAATGTATATGAAATGTAATAAAATGAAAGAATAAACAAATACGTAACACTTAAAATACATAAAATGAATGTAACAAATAAACTATGAATGTAAGGGCCCGTCTAGTTTCTACAAATGCGATGTACAATATGCAGTGTAAACTCTGTATATGAGGTATTTCCAGGAACAGCAATGCGTTACGTGCAAAAAAGGGCAAGCCATGTGAGTTTCTGATGTCAGTCTCTGTTAACACTTTTTTTTTTTTTTTTTTGGATGAAAATTTTTGAAAAACATGACACTGGGAAAGCTTGTTGTTTCATGCTTAAATCATTGGTCACATTTCCAAAGAGAGGAAATGTGACAATTTCACTTCAAATGTGACATTCTAACTGTCAAAATAAAGGAATATTCCAGTTTAATGCAAGTTAAATGCAATAAAAAGTATATGGGACAAAATGTTGATTACAAATTACCTTAAAAATTATTATGACTTGTTCCTTGTTTTCTTAAGAAGAAGAAGAAGAAGAAGAAGAAGCAAAAATCAGGGGGCAAAGTTTTGGATGATGTAAGGAAAGTTATTCTGCTAAAATTCTGAGTGTTTATCTGAGAGTAAATCTGTTTGAATCATTGTTTTCACAGTCATTTTATGATTTTAACACATTACAATCACTCTTAAATATTGAGCAGGCTATTTTAACATTTACAGATAGGCTCAATTCACTTCCATTTTAAGTGTCCTTTTCTTCAGGGGAATGAATGAATGAATGAATGAATGAATGAATGAATGAAATAGCAGAGCTTAATTTTGTTTGTAATCAAAATTATAACCTAACACAAATTCTGTCAGACTGAGTTTAACCTGGAATATTTTGGACGTTTTACATTTTATACTAATCTATGATAACGGCCAATCTATGATAACTCTTAAACGGCCAGTTTTCTTTTAAACCTTCTTTTGCGTGTTTCTGCAAAATGTTTACTATGACTGTAAACGAGAATGCAACTACTTAAAAAAATGCATGAAATCGATAGTGATGAAAGGGGTTTTACTAAATACAAAGGTTCTAGATTCTTATCCTGAACACACACACAAACGCGCGCGCGCACACACACACACACACACACACACACACACTGTATACTTGCGAAGTAAATCGAAACGTGCGTTAATTCCCACGTATGCAAGCAGTGTGTCCTAAACTACAGAGCTCAACATCTGTAATACCACGGAAATTACAAAACACATGGGTAGCCGGTTATTTTCTGCAAAATGTTATGACTGTAAACGAAAAAGAAACTACTTAAAAAAATGCATGAAAGCGATAGTGATGAAAGGGGTTTTACTAAATATAAAGGTTCTAGATTCTTATCCTGAACACACACACAAACGCGCGCGCGCGCACACACACACACACACACACACACACACACACACTGTATACTTGCAAAGTAAATCGAAACGTGCGTTAATTCCCACGTATGCAAGCAGTGTGTCCTAAACTCCAGAGCTCAACATCTGTAATACCACGGAAATTACAAAACACATGGGTAGCCGGTTATTTTCATTTTAGTTAACAGCAACAGGTTTTGAAAAGGAAACTCCCTTATCTCCAAATGATTTATAAAGCACAAATCCTGATCCTGAGCGTTAGTATATGCAAAAGTTGAACGCAACAATGCTCCCCAGGGTCTGTACTTGTAAGTATTATTTATGATTTTAATCTACAAACGATTTCAGTGCTCCATTTTATTCATTTTAATCCGTTTTATTTCTAATAAATGAAAGATACATCCCTATTTACATAATATGTTGTGAAATGTGACATTTTGTTACAGATTTGGCCGTCAGCACTCTGTGCTTTGCTTTGCTGTGGCAATGCAGCATCGCCGTTCCCCTCGGAGCGCGTCAATCACCGTTACGCCTCACCGGAACGTGCAACGTTCTCGCGCGCTCTCTGCTCTGGAACGTGTCAGCGGTGCTCGAGATGGTGAGTGTCATTCAGTAAACCAACACATAATAGCTAATACACACACACACACACACACACGTGGTCTGAAGTCTAATAGCCTGTTTATCATCCGCTTACAGGACCACTTGTTCAGCGGGTTTGACTGCACACAGCAGAACGCAGAGGTGCACATCAGGACACAAACGGTTTCTGCATGCACACCACAGGTAAGAGAAGAGCGTCACATTAAAAATGATATGATAATGCTATCCTAATGGAGTTTAAGCATACAATGAAATTATTATTATTATATTGCAGCCATCATAAATATTCATAGCGCAAATAGTCATACCACATAAGTGGACAAGGCATTACAGTAGAATGACATGTCCATTAACTTTAAAAAAAAAAATAAGAAAAAGATTTTAGGTTCAATTTACATATAAGCCAATGTATAGCATAATATTTTAAGTAGGTGTTTTAGTGGGTGTAATATTCATCACATTTATTTATTTTAATCATCTTTTTGCCTTCAAATGGTCCTGAGATGTGACAAATAATTATTAAAAATTACAAATATTGAATAGTCATAAAACAAAAATTATATGATTGTTGTTATTGTTACTACTACTACTACTAAAAATAATAAGAACAAAATAACAATAAAAGTAAATGCAGTAACACTTTATTTTAAGGTGTCTTTGTCACACGTCACATGTACTTACTATTATAATAACAATAAATTACGCATAATTACATGCAAGTGATCCTCCTAACCCTAACCCTATAGTAAGTGCATGTGGTTAATTAATATTACTCAGTACTTAAATGTACTTAAATTACACTGTAACAAGGACACCTTAAAATAAAGTGCAACTGTAAAAACTACCAATCATAATAATAAAAAATGAAATTGTTGTTGCTGTTTAAAATAACTATAAAATATAAAAGTTCAGCTTGTTTGTGAAAATAAAATCGGTTTATTTAAAATGATAATGATTCATTATTGTCAGTGGAAGCCAGTGAAATCAGTTACCTCAATTTCCTTTATTAGTAAAGATCAGTAAGTTTGCTGATGAATATAAATAGCCATTGTATTCAACAAATCATTACTTATACTTTTCCTTTCTTCATCAAAGTACATTCTTGATTGCTGAATTTCAACATAATCAAAACGTCACATATTATATTATGTTTTCCACCCAACAGAACTCCAACTGCGCTCACAGTGCTGTTCTAAATATTGATGAGGTAAATGTATAATCCATTTTCCCAGTTCTTCTGTTTGTTGGCTGTTTATTCTTCTGTTGATTAGTGTCTTTTGTCTGTTACACTGACATAGCCTACATTGACATATATCTTTGTAGAATGAATGCCTACAGAGAATTCTAGAAGATCTCCACTACTATCGGGAGACATTTAGAGCCTACTCCAAACCAGAGCTCACCAAATCTGTAGTTAGGAGCATTGATGTACTCATGCAGGTAAAATAAGCCAATCAAACCAACACAAACAGCTTTCTATAATTACTGTTGATTGCAAGGCTCTTTTTCACTTTCTTTTTTATGTTGTAATAGAACTGCTTCTCTGTCTCTGCGATGGACAACTCTCTGGCCAAGGTAAAGCAGATTATAATTTATTGATAATACACTCTAAAAAATGCTGGGTCAAAACAACCCAACCGCTGGGTCAAAACAACCCAATAGCTGGGTTTGTCCCTTTTTAACCCAGCGCTGGGTTATATTTAACCCAGCATTTTTTAGAGTGTAGGCATGTAACGTTTTTAAGTGCATTCATTTGGCCTCTGTGATGCTCTCGTGTTGAAGTATGATTACGTT